CCACGACCTCACAGAAGACCGGCGTCGAATTTCGCGCCGGAGCCCAATAGAGGGTCAACCATGGGCGGCGGTCAATAGTAACTAAGTTAGGGGAATCCCGATGATTAAGGGTAACCACTCAGGTCGTGTCGGATACACCTTATTTTTGTTACTCGTAGTTACAACAGTGAATTAACTGTGGCATATGATGTATTATCTGATAAAAGTGTAATTATTTCGCTCTCTTTATCATCAACGATTCTTTTTAAATACAAACACAAATGTTATTGTCACTATTTTCGCCAAAGAGATTGCTTGCGAGTAGTGAACAAAAACAAGATTATTATTTCGTTACGTTTACGATTTACGAACATCGCAATAATGTGGAAGCTGGTATGAGGTAAACAATCCGATAAACAGCGTGTGTATACGATACAAAATAAGCTTAAGTAACTGCCGTTTGTGTTGATTGGGAGGTTTGTTTTCCATTACACTCCGCGCCGAGCCGTCTTGAGGACGCAACAAGTCGCCTCGTTCGCGTTCTAGGACTATGCCATTGTCACGAACGTGCTCCTAGATCTGGAGCACCTCGAATATCCGGCGCTCCAAACTGTATGACTAGTCATGCAGATTGGAGCGAAGGAGTCATGGGATCCACTCATGCTGACACCAAGGGGGCGTTCGACCATCATGTCGACAATGATGACGTAACCGGGCCGTCTCTGTACTGTCCGAGCCGATATTAGGCCACATTTCCCGGGGGTACGATGCGCCCCCTGACACAATGCCCGGGCCATGGGGTTCAGTTCCCCGAAACCCGTACCAGCGCTTGCCCGACTGTTAAGGTAGTGTGGATGTCTCGTGTGTGGTTCTGATAGATAGATCTCAGGGCCCGGTGGCTTAATAGCTGTAGCGGTGTACCGGTCCGATGTCCGACGACACTGCAATTTGTGCTCAATGCCCCTTTCCTAGTAAGAGATGCCTTCCCAACCTGCTCGAGATGGATTCGCCTCGCATCCGCGCGAAGGCAACGAGTTGTACGAACGTTCGCTTCTCAATGTTTCGAGGAATTTCAACATTAGGAAGGTAATATTTTTGTAGTAAAACTTGATAACGCTTTATATAACATTTGATTTTTAAATATTTACGCTGTATGTTTATATTGAGTGCCATCTATACATCTACACTAATCTACACTAATATAATCACTAATATCTAATTGCATATGTATACCCGGTACATATACCAAAATAATTTTTTTTTACAATTTTTGTCTGTCTGTTTAATCTCTGCTAATCTCAGAAACGGCTGGACCGATTTGGACGGGACTTTCACTGGTAGATAGATAGCTGATGTAATAAGGAGTAACTTAGGCTACTTGTATTTAAAATTTTTTTTTAATTTTAAATTCCACGCGGACGAAGTCGCAGGCACATATAGTTTACAATAAAAAATATTTATAATTTATCATTAATTTGTATTATTTAATGATTAATTAGTATAGTAATTTTATCATTTATTGGTATAAATTTAAAATATTTTTTTTTATTTGTTTTACTTCTACCATGTATAAAGGTTAGACGCGCTATTTTTTTATGTAAAAAGCAGGCAAGAGAACTGACGGCTCACCTGACGTTAAACGAATTTTCGACCAATAAAGAAGTGGGACTAGGACTACAATATTTCCACTTCACAGGTCTTCTGTGAGTGCGATAGCGATTGAACGAATGGTCCCTCACTATATGTTTATCGCAAATTATTTTTGGTATTTGAATACAGACAAAATAATTATTTTTATTATTGTGGTAATACGAGTCAAGAGTACCGTAAAATCATAAATTAACCTTGTCTTGGTTATTTAAGCTTGCAGCTTTTTTTTTAAACATTTCTCGCATACATTTTAATGACATCGAAATCGCTATTTAAAATCTAAAAATATTTAGTAATGTTATCATAAACTCTTGTAACAACTTATACAAAGAGGTTTTGTAAGTTTTCCGAGCTCTGTGTAAAGTACAAACGAGACTGAATTTCGAATGTATTAGCATTTATTAGCGCGCGCCGTGATAATGTTTGATTCCAAGGTCGGCTTCCATTGTTTTGACGATAATATATTAGGAATTACGGTATAATTATTTAAATGACCCTGTCGACGTTAACTAGCCTGGACAGTTTGACGCTTTTGGCATTTTACTACTTTTGTGTTCAACTGTGTAAAGATATTTTTGTTCTCGGTGCAAAATTTTTTATATGCATTATAAGCTCATTCCTTGAGAGTTTTAAGTAGTTTTTCGAAAGCACTTAGACTCTCGCTGAGAGCAGTTCCGGGTTCATTTTCCAGCGGAAGGAACGTCTTATGCGATGCACTTTGTCGGTGTGCTAGCGTTTTGGTATTATACAAATATTCATAGATTCATAGATACAGTCTTAGATATATATTACCAAAGGAAACTCAACCTTATAAAAAAGGAGTTAATTGGTAGTTAAGCGATGATATGATACGTCTCCGAGTACGGCATTTATTGAGTTGTTTTAAAGTTTTAAGATACGGTGACTTGGCTAGATTTCGTGCGAATATTTTTTCAGTTTTATTTTTATTGTTCTAATGTATTTTCGGGGGATGATTGTACGTGTATTTTATTAAACAAGAACTGAATTTCGAAATGATGCTATATCGTTTGGGTTCATTTAAGGCACGTTGTTACGTTTTAAGTCGATTGAATACTGTAATCGTTTTTAATATAAATATGAACGTTGAAAACACTAACTATAAAGAACCTACTTGTAAAGTCGCAACTTCCATTCGTTCAAAATTGCTTTTCCACTTTCCGCAATAAATATTTTCCGATGTCGTTTTAACGATGATCCCGCAAGATAGCTTCTCCAGAGAGTTTATAAATTGTTCCAGTTTTAATACTTGTTTCTGCTTTAAAATATTATAAAACTATGTGCAAGCGGATGTCGGCTAGATAACTTTCAATAGTAATTACCAATATAATTTTTTAATGGACTTACCGTTTTAACCTTTTTCTAATTTTCAATGTTTCACTCAAGATTTATAGGTCTCTTTATTTGTATAGTTGGATTTACGATATCAATTATCTTTAAACTTCTTTATAATCGTTGTCATTAGAAATGCAACGAAACGAAAATGCGTCACGACAAAGAGAAAAAATAAATAAATAAATACATATCTATTAATTATAACGATTAAGACGGCGAGAAAAAGGGATAATTATATTACACAGTATTTCACATATTTGGGTCTCCTCTTTGTGCCAAGCCTCCCCAATCTCGTCTACTAAACATTTTGCATATTATGTGTGCTCTTGTATATTGCCGACCTAAAGCAAGCAACGGTGAAGCCTTCGATGAAGGCATCGTATATTGAGTATATTGTAGTATTTCTATATTGCTCTGTGTCTGTGTTTCTGTATCGCGTTTTTTTAATGCGAGAGGATGGCAAGCGAGCTGGCGGTTCACTTGATGTTAAGTGATAACCGCCATGATAGGATTGCAGAAGCTTTTGCCATCTTTTTAATAAAGTCACTCACCCGACGAAAAAATATTATAAAAATGTAAATCTTACTCCTAATACTCTATAGTCATTTCATTTTCTCGTAGGCTTCTTTTCTGAAGTTTGTTTACAAACGCGTGTAAATTGAAAAAACAAAAGTGATTTTATGTTTAAAAATCACTTCCGCTTCGGAATCTCTCTTTTGTACCGGGAAATTTCGTAAGCATGGAAATCACACATACAAATTATGAATGCACAAATTGAGTCTTGGCCTGTGGACCAAAGCTATCAGCAAATTCAAGTTTGATTCGGCGGACACGTCGCGTTCGCAGACGAAATCTCCCAATTCGATATCACCCCTCCCGCTTTATGGCCTAGTGAATGAATCCCGATATAAAAAGCTCTAAATCATACGAATGCTCGGTATGTACACAACTAGCGCGCGCATTATCCGGTCCGTTCATTTCGGTTTACGACGAGACACTGCATACATCGCGCTCGTAGCACACGGCCGTTTCGAGACCGGACGAACTAAAGCGGCATCGTGTACAAAAAGCTCTCCGCGTGAAATATCATCGTACGCAGACGGCGCCTACATAGCACCGAGCATGGCAATATTTTAGCTTATTTGCCTCTATAGCGGGGCGACGCTTTGCAATTTAAGGGACGTACATTTCCATTAGTCGTTTGATGTCTTTTTTTTCTCTGTCTAAGTGTGCAGAATTTCGTTAGTGTCATATTTACATGATTTAGTTGTTTTCTATTGACTTTTCGACTGTTCTTTGATATAAATGTTAGTTGATTACATAGTTACTTAAATAGCCTAAAAGTAAATGAAGACGTACTGACGAGATGTTTAAAAAGTTGTGTAATAAGTTTAGTTTTCATGGCGAAGATTATGTTGTGTATTTAAATTTTACACAGTGTCTATTAAAGTTGTCTGATCGAAGCACGCTTCAAAGCGACTTACAAATATACATAACGGTACATATTGATTACTTCTTTTGATTATTGAATTATGTATTTATTATAGAATTTAATTATTATAATTCAATCAACGAAAAATAATTGGATAGACTAGAATAGACTCAATTTAATTCATCTTGTCTTAAGTTGATATGCATTTTATATCAGTAAATTTAATAAAACTAAAGTAAATTATATAAATTTTTTGTACTAGATTGAAGTTCTTTCAAAAGTCATGTGCAATTTTAAATGATCAATGTCGGTACATCATCCAGCCCTTGTGATAAATTTACTAGCAGAAAAACTAAGGTAAATTTAAAGAAACGCCTCTATTTTTCGACCCCCAAATGAAATATATGGTATAAATTAATGTTATATTGAGTGAGTTTATAAAATACTCAATCTTCAAACGGTTCGCAACTTGAGGGTAATACAGAGACAAGCAAAAGCTCCGGTGACGTACATCTGCGAAATGCGAATAGACATCGAAAAATGCCAGAGGGAAGGAAACTGGAGCGCGCTGCCGCTTATTAAATTATCTCGCCAGTCGCGAAAATGTGACACTGATGAAGCAACAAGTCCCTCTCTGGCACAGTTGAGGCGGCGGCGATGTCTCGCCGACGACGGTGCACCGCGTGCGTTGTGTGGGGGCGGCGCGGCCGGCGAGGGCGCGGGGCAGGGGGGGCGGGCTTGGATTTGAGAGCCTTTGGAAAACAAGGACATTTTTGTAATAAACAAAACGGACTTTAAATAGTTGCCTCACTCTACATTTTTTATTCGATATTGAAGAGTTCCCTGATTTATCCCTGAGTCTAAAGTCACTGAAACTGACATGAAATGAAACTGACATGGGACCATATGGGAGCCAAACCAAACCCAATACAAAATCGGTTGAAATCGGTTCTTAAATGACGGAGTTCATTGGTATCAAACATTAAAAAAAATTACAACCGAATTCAGAACCTCCTCCTTTTTTGAAGTCGGTTGAAAACTACGGCTGTGTTTACAATGTCCACTTTTAAAACGAGCGTGAAGATGCTTAACTAGCGTAACTACTAATTTCCTTATTGATTTTATAACTCTGCTAATAGTTTATGCTGAAGAGTTACCAGCTGTTGTACTTTAAAATTTGCGTATAACATTTATTTTAATATTGTATCCTGTATGGAATAACGTCTTGTGTCTCAAAACCGTTCTATACACACAAATTGCATTGTACATGAAAAAATGTCTCCAAACTATTCATTGTATCAATCGTTAGCAGCAACACCGTTAATTAAAAAAATAAGTGTAACATAATTATATTTTCTTTAACGTCATCGTGAGTCATCTTAAGCGTTTAGCCCTTTTATTTCTGGATCCTTGCTTGAATGACTTAGGGGAAGAAGTTTATTCATGGGGGCCGCGAGTGCTTTATAAAATAACAGTATGTGTCTGCAACTCTCGTGGTATGGAGTAACTGCTTAAAAGGCCGGCAACGTGTTTGTTAGCCCTCGGGGGTTGCAGGTGTTCATGGGCGGCGGTAATCAATTACCATCAGGTGAGCCTCCAGCTCGTTTGCCTCTTTTCCCCTTTGTTAAAAAAATCTATCTTAACCATACACGTTATCTATAACCTGTACAATCATTGCATGAAAGAATACACTTCCACTGATCTAGGCCCTAAGTTATTAGTGGTAAAACAAGACCTAGTTTGATTTAAGAACATTCTACTTCTCTCGTGCTAAAGTATGACAATCGATAATCTAGACTATTGTTCCTCTTAGTAAGTGTACCAACGAACTGACTACGGTAGAGCCACTCATCAGTTGTCTACACTTGCGAATAGCGAACAGTTCAATAGACCTAAAGATGCTTGTTTTATGACACTCATCAACAGTAAGCTGCAACGCCCTATAATAACGTCATAAACCTCGGTTTAAAATGAACCGCCAATTATGGCAGCGAGTTTCAAAAGCGGTCCCGACTCGACTTTCGTGATCACACATTCCGCCGTTTACGTGCGCCTCGCAATTTACAACGGCATCGCCACCGTCGCGTATGGCGTCGCGTGCAGTTTTGCGCCACTGGGTGCTATCGCTAACGTCGCGCGAACAGCTGCCGTCAGATACTATCGACGTTAAGGTAACCCTGCACCCCAACTGAGCTAGCATTCCTGTTTGGTTGTCTTAGCGTATTGCAATAGAGAGGTGGCTAAGTTGGTATAAGTGTTATGTTAAAGTACTACTACTAAATACTACTAGTCGCTCATTGGTGAAGATTCGATGGTAATTCGGTAATTGTTTTGGTAATTGTTAGGTAATTTTTCTGACATATTTTCAATCTTTAAATTCTTTGGTTTAAACCTTTACATTGTGTAACTGTGATCAGAATATTATGGTTCTAACATCAATATTCGATCAACCGTATGAAAGTTAACAATGGATGAGCTATTTTGATTTATTTCATGTATTTTTACAAACTTGTTCACCATAAAAACTGTGCCAAGCCTCCACACTCCTCCGTGCACGCAGTATTTAGCAGTCGGTTTGAGGAGACCAGACAGCCCTTCTAAACGGCGCGGGGGTTGGTCGCTATCGGTGAGTGGGGTTGCGGTGGTGGGACGGGAGAGGAGGGGAGGGGGAGGGTGGGCATGTCGCGCTCTCACTGTCATATTTATTTCATACTTTGCGTTTCGCCTTCGTAATATAGCAACAATCCGACTTCGTATTTTTCCATCCCACATTTATGGGTGGAGACGATTCTTGATAACTGCAGGCTTCGATGCAGATGTAATTTCATTGCCTTATGAGACAGTGGTGGTCAACAAATCGGTTTCGGTTTTCTACCTCGCTTCATAACAAGAGAAAATTCTGTTGAAAGTCCCTCTCCCTCCCCCCAAAACATACGCACACGTCTCACGTGCTATTTTTGGAAAACCTTAGAGTATGTACAAAATTATTTAACCCGTATCAATAACAAATCGCTTTTCTTAGACATATTAATTAATTCTATTCGTTTAAAGAATAAAAAGACAAAACGTTTTCTGATTAATATTGAACAGGAAAAAGTCCTCGCACTCCACTGGGGTAACATAAATGTGGTGCAATTAAAACAGCATGTCATATCGCAGCGTAAGACTGTTTCACAATGCGGTTCTTGTAATTATTGTGCATACATTCCACTGACCTTTCCTGAACCTCGTTTGCGGAAACAAGCTGCCGATCGATTTTCTTCGCAATTCAAATAATTGACTCGTGTCTATGATATAATAATATAATTTTCTGGTCATTTTTATTGATGGGCTATTTGATTTTCATCGCTTTATATCGAAAAGTAAGTCATTGTAATACATTGTGTTCAGCTGAGTTTATTTCGCCGGTTCTTCTCAGGTTAGTGGCTTTTAGTAATCAATAAGTAAGTGTATTACAGTAATAATTTGAATTTGTAAACTTCAGAGGGCAATCATTATTTTTAAATCACTGATAATTTATTTCTTACTGAATCCTTAAAGTAACGCTCAACATCGTTTAAAAATTCACTGGCATACATGTAAGACATACCCAAAGGGTAAAATGGAACCCTATTGCTATGACTCCGCTGTCTGTCTGTCTGTCCGTCCGTGTGTCAACAGTCCGTATCTCATGAAACGTGATAGTTACAGTTGAAATTTTCACAGATGATGTATTTCTGTTGCCGCTGTAACAACAACTGCTAAAAACCGAATAAAAATATTTAAGTGGATCTCCTCAACAGATGATTTTTTCCCGTTTTTGTAGATAATGGTACGGAACCCTTCGTATGCGAGTCCGGACCGCACTTGGCTGGTTTTAGATTAAAGAAGTCCACGGGCTATGTATGGCTTGTCTAGTATTAGATATGTGGAGAACAAACTTAATGATAGCAGCGAACAACTCCCTAAGTTCGTGCATTAACTTTGTACCGTTTGACGAAACTGAATTATATACCGCGCGACAACAAACCACGAGCGACTGGAGACGAGGTAGCTAACCTCTCCAAGTAAGTAATTAAGTAATTAGTCACATTATTCGGTATGTAATCATTTTCCTTTATGCTTTGATTATATAGGTTGTTTAGATCGAGCAATGTTTAACAAACGACGCGCTAAAACTATATTCGATTGCGTGATGTGTGAGTGCCGCTCGTGTACCTACTTATTGAATATAAACAAACTGTCAAGATGTGCGTGTTTAGAGATGCCTAAAGTTATTAACTTAAGTTTTCCCCATTATTTAATATTAGAGACGCGCCCCGGCTTCGCACGGGTGCAATGTATTATACATACAAACCTTCCTCTTGAATCATTCTATCTAGTAAAAACCGCATCAAGATCCGTTGCGTAGTTTTAAATATCTAAGCATACATAGGGACAGACAGACAGCAAGATGACTTGTTTTATACTATGTGAAGGTTAAATTTAAATAAAATAGGTTGAATGAAGTAATTATTTTCTAGATTAGTGGTTTTATTTATTTTGGTAACAATAACATAAAAATCTGTTTCTAAAATCTGGTGTATAATCGCTCTCCTGCGATTTACAAGTCGGAATCCGTAGGAAATCTGAAACCCAAAATGAAAGAAAGAACTAACAAAAGTGCTATTTAATACATGACGTCATGGGTTTCATTTATTTTCTGTAGGAAAATTATCATTTACTGATCAAATAAATAATGTAATTTTTAAAATAATTTAAGTAACGATATTTGTTATTCGTCTCCCACAGTTTCCCCAAAACTTGGTAGTAATAAACTGACAACACCGGCTAACCAGACTAACCTAACGAAATAACGAATTAAAAAATCGTGTTTACTTAAATTAATAGTGGTTAAATACTTACCGATGAAAAGTGATCTTGATATTATTATACGATTCTCCCACATAATTGCGACACAATTTGATAGCACAAACCGGGATAATTCATTATTTTGCGTGCGCACGTTATCGGTAAGTAATGCAGTGAAATTCAAACCATGTTCGAATATTGCAAGTATATACGTTATTGTTAGCGGATCCTCACAGATATGGTGAAGAAATTTTTTTCTAAATCTAAAGGCGAAGACGATTTTCTGTGAGGTAGAAAGATGAGGCAATTGATTTAGCGATACCATTGATGGGAAGCGATGGCCGATCCGTAACTCGCATTTAATATTTTGTAGCCTTTTGTTACCTCACTCACCAAATCACTGACCTCACTCACAAGGTTAAAGTATAAGTACTTAAGTATTAGCGAGTGTTTTCCTCCATTCGGAACATGATTTTGAGTCTACAACAGTTACGTATAAAGTATATCAATGATGACAACTGATGCAATAAAGTCTACTGCAACTGAGATAACCATCGCCGTATATCGCACGGCACGGGAGTCAATTCTAACGCTGAGAGCTCAAAAAAAAATGTCTTATAAAATCTAAGTACATTCATAAATGCGCACTCACGCACGCACACGTTCCTGCTGGCATCATTACGTGTAAACCCCCCCCCCCCCCCTCCTTTGACGTGCTTTTTATATCCCAACACGAGCTCCATTCTATCCCGTGTCTATGCAGAGACCCCGCCAACCGCTCCGATGCAAATCCGCTACAAACGGACTCATGAATAAGGGGTAACCGGCTTTATTACTTTCTCTCCGAGTCGAGTGCCATTTGATTGAGTGGTTTTTTTTCTTCTTTTGCTTTCTTTGTCATTCCTTATCTAAGAATCGCTGGGAATGTCGTTTCGGATGAAGATTTACGTGAGAAATTCGCTTACGTGTCCGAGGCAGATGCTCGGTCAATCGATTGACACCTTTCGAAATCTTTATTATAGAGTATTTTATACGACGTGGCAATGTGAAAACTTGAATGACCACTGTTTCGTAGTGGACATATTGTTGAGCGGAGACTTGGTCATACTGAGTTCTCGCAGGTTGATGATGACGACATTGATATATATCAATAGAAAACTTGCAAATGACATAAATACTTATAGGATGTCGCCCTCAGTTATATTATGTGTAGATAAACGATTTCTTCTCTGCCAGTAAGCGAAGACAATTTTTACGATTCTATCTATTTAACGGGACAATTTTTAGTTTCATCTTAAGTGCAGAAATTAACAAAATAAGAAATCAATTAAGAACTAAAACATGTGAAAGTCGAGACAGCAGTAGAATTCAAAAGATACAATTTTGCCTTCTAAAAACTTTCAAGGAGGAATTTTAACAAGTCTTAAAAGGTCGCTCAGCCTATTCAAACTGTCTAATTGTTTTCTTTATTCGTGTCGATCGCTCCCCTACGCGCACAAAGGCCGTGCACCGCTTCGCCGCCTGACTGCACGGCTACAGCGCTGGTAGCGCTGCGCAGCCACGGTTACAGCGCTAACAGCGCTGTGCGTAATCACCCCCTGACGATAAAGGTAATGAAAGCCCAATAACGACCGCTCGGGTAAATCGAGAGTCGCCAGTATCCGACACCATTACGATGGGCGTCGCTTTGAGTCCGCGCTAATGATACCCAGTATCGCGCACTTACAGCACTCAAACGCAACCCTACTTGACCAACCCTGAATTAAAGTAGAAGCTACCGAAGACTTCAAAGAATTATACCATAATTTTTTATCATCATGATGGTTTCTATCGATGCAGTTGTGAGGCTATACAGGATTCGATGCAAACTGCATGTAGATTTGTTTTTTTTCTCTCTTTTTTTTTTAAATCATTGCCCTCACTCTAGCATGACATTATCCTGTGTTGCAAGGGCGTTTTAGATATATAAATTTCACGTGGACAAACACCCAGATGCGAAACAACTATCTGTAGGTCGCACAAATAGTTGTCCCGTGTGGGAATCGAACCCACGACCCCCGACACCGAAGCCAATACCTTGGCGACAGGGCCACGGAGTCACCTAACTCACCTAAGATGGGGTTCGGCATCTTGGGCTACGTCAAAAGTAACCCGTTTATACCACTGAGCTGTTGTACGAAAACACGTTGACGAGGCCGATTATGCACATAGCATTACTTGTATTAAATAACAGAGTTATAGAAACATTGTACGATACAATTAATTCGTTTTATAAACACCTCTGCAAAACTTGAGACAATTTTATTATACAGCAAGGCCAATATTCTATTCAAACAAAAAAAAATTAAAAACCGGTCAAATATGAGTCGGACTCGCAAAAAATTATGTCCGTTGCATTTTTTTTAAGTATTTGTTGTTATAGTGACAACACAAAATACAGCATCTGTGATAATGTCAATTGTCTAACTATCACGGTTCATGAGATACAGCCTGGTGAAAGACTGACAGACAGAGAACAGCGAAATCTCAGTCATAGGGTCCCGTTTTACCCTTTGGGTACGGAACCCTAAAAACGTAACAAAAATGTAGTTATTAAAAATTTCAAACACGTACCTATTAAACAATTTCTAGTAATAATTTCTGACAGATATCAATCTAATATATAATATATATTCATCAAAATCAACATGCAAAGCAAATCGTTCACGAAACATGTCACGTATGTAATTGGCTTTATAGCATAAGTTTTGCCGCTGCCGCGCAAATGTTTGATCTTTATTACACGATAGAGTCACGCAGAAGTACGAATGGAAATATAAAACTAAATATTCATTCAATAAGACATACCCGTGTCTTTTCAAACACATCTATGAGGTAAATATAGGTTGTTTATTATATTTGCTTACAAACAACGCCTGCTACTTGAATAATCAACCCGATCGGGAAAGTTCCACGGCGTAAAAAAAATAATCCATTATACTTTTCATATATATATTTGGTATTATCATTTCTATCAGATTAAGAAATGTATATAAATATATATGATTGCTTCATGTGATAAGTAGTTACTAGTGACGCCTTTCTCTTCTTAGCACTTGACGTACCGAAAATCCTAGAGGCTCCTTTTACTTCATAAGAGATGCGTGTTTATTCCACGTTTGTTCCATTATCCGTTCTTCGACTCGCGATGACTCAGTCAGTTGTAGACTCAGCCAAAACATTGTATAAGATACTATAAATACATACAAGTATGTATTTATGGGCAATTATAAAGATTATAAGTTCGAGCTACAATTACTTTGTATACCGTTATAAAATATGATTTCACTCTCAAGTAGTGAGTTATATAAATCACAGTTAACAATTAAGAAAAATGTTTTCTAGAACCTTCTAAAAGCTACATTTTAACGCATAGAGAGCTTTACCTGCTCTTAGCGTTTGTTTTCATTTTATTTTGAAACGCTCACTGTTGGTTTTAATCTTCTCAGTTATTGGAATAACACAGTGCTTTTTTTTCAACCACACGCCTAAGCTAAATGGAACTGTTGGGGAATGGGAATTGTATTATGTTTCGTTTATATATATTGTCTTTGCTATAAAAATTTGCCTTTTAGTTATTATTAATCGGCACGTGCGATGTTTTCGCGCGTTATCGTGATAGTGATTAAAGATTGTCGATAAATGGTGCCTTCTACATTCTTTAGGCCTATTAAGTTTTTTTAAGTAGAAAGTAGTAAAGTAACATCTTGTATAAGTCCTATTGGGCAATGGATATGTCCTGTGTACAGAGGATATTAGGGCATATGTAACGAGGCGACCTCACTGCAGATTGGCAGAACTCAGATATCTTCGAAATATTTTTTTAGTATTTCGAAAATATGCAGGTTTCCACATGATGTTTCCACTGAGCACGTAATAAGCAGCACTTAAAATTAATGATTTCGTTGGTGCCGGCACCGGCAATCGAACTCAAGTTGCTTGAGTATATTATAATTAAAAGCGAGCGTACGAACAATAAACTATAACGTGTTTTTTAAAAAGAATATTAGGAGTATATTAATTTAAAATTATTGGTGATTTTTCCTCAACAATTTTGATAAAGTATGAAGGAAGATATAAGAGAGCAAAAAACGATATATACCTTATATTTTATCGAACTTTTATTTACAGAGAGATTTTTTGAGAAGTGCCCAAATTTACACAGTAGGTTCAGACTCGGTAGTATAATCGTTTATTGAAATAAAAAACAAAGTTTTTTTTCCAAAAAAAAATGCCATTCTATTCCCTAAAAAACAGAACGTGTTGACAATGCGGTAGTAGAGTAATAAATACCTAAATTTTACCGTGAACGAACTTGTGTGCGTGTTAGTTATGAATGATCGCGCGTAAAATAAATGAGTTGCGTATAAACTACGCACTTTTTGAGATAAGTTTAAATGAATGTTATTTAGTTAATGAGTGATTTTAAACGTTTATAATTTTTTATATAACATTATTTATGTCTAGAATTTAATTAAAAAAAATGGATACACTTAGAAAAGCCACCCTGCATGTATTTTACTTTGATAATACATTAGAATAACTCGAAGGCAAGAGAACCTTGTAACGTTTTATAAATGAGTGTGTAGTTAATGGTGGGAAGATTTAATAAAAGATTTATTAGCAGTTAAGAAGTTGTATTTATCCCTTCAGTTTAAAGTTACAATCCCTGGACTAGCTCACATACAATATATTTTAAAATATAATAATAATAATGAGTTTGGGCGCCTTGTCTGTTAGGAACAGACTGTTGTAATAATTACAGTTAAGTATCTCAGGGAGTCCTGAGTACATAGGACCCACACATTACTTTGTGCGACCATAAAAGGTTAAATAATTAAATTAATTGGAGATGGTAAAAGTTATGGAATTCAATTTAAAAACAAAGTTCAATCAGGTAGTTATTTTAAATCGTTGTCACCGCAGACACCAGCCCTGTGTGCACAGGTCAGCGTTGAGCTCAGAACCAGTTGAGAAAGTCAGGCCAAGTGTGGTGTGTACAGCCGCACTGTTGGGGGGTAAGTAGGAGACCTCCTGCGAACAAACACTACATTGTAGAACTAACGAAGGCAGGGATATGAATCCACCTACAATTATAAGATGTGAAACACTTACCAACTGGAGGTAAAAAACAATATTTAATCGAGCAGCAGCTCAGACCAGCTTGCCAGCCACCTATGCCTTCAGCATCCACCTGTGATATTCGAAAAACCATACTTAGAAACACGAGACAATAAAATTCTCAACCTACCTTCACATGAGGTTTTTAAATACATCTCAATGCAAGTCTTTTACCATTTTAGTAGAAAACCAGTGAAAATAACAAAGGATCTTACCACGAGGGATAACAAATCCAGCACAGAGTTTCCCAGACAGCAATCACAAATAATACGACCAGGAACGTGTTCTGATTTCAACCTCTAGCCATGCACTGTAAAAAGGCGAATTGATAAGAAAACGAAATACGTAAGCAAAACAACCACTGGCATGAACAAAACCAAGCAACTACTTACCAGTCGAAGATAATGGATCCACAAAAACTAATTTATCCAATGTCAATTCGAACCGGCGGCAATCTCAAATGACAAGTACCAACAAATGAACTTAACTTTTACATTCGTCCTTTCGAACAGGCAAAGGTCCATATGACATGCAGCCTAGTCTTTAGAAAAACGACAATTTAGACAAAGTGATGAAATCACCCGTTACAACCTAAGACCAGTGTCGGGTGTTATTAAAAAATACATTTCTTACTCTTCAACTTAATTGCTCTTCTCTTTATTTTTAAAAACAAATTATCATTTCTACGATTCCATTTCAAATCAAACCTAGCGTGTCGGCGAAAAAGGAGGGCTTATAAAAAGCGATTGACATCCCTAAACGCGCAGCCGCTCGCGTGGTTCTTTTGGCCGCTCGTGAAAAATGTCACATTTATTATCGGCGATGGTCGCGGCGGGAGTATGAGAGAGCGCTGAGCGCCGCGCCACGCTCACCTGCCGTCTAGACGTCTCAGCGGCGGCGGGAATAATAATAATATCGTGACGATTCGTAACGCAAGCCCGAGTTTTCGTACGTCTATTTGTAGTCGACCGCGTCTTCTGTGTTCAATCGCGATGCGCGTTAGTCTTTTGTTTCAAGAAACAATATCAATCCAATATCCATCCTAGACGTAGCGTTCATCTCCTAGTGTGAGGAGCGGTTTTTTGTGTTCACGGCAAAGAGCAAGTTCACACGGACTCGAGACAATTATTTTTGGTTAATAGAAATTTCTGCCTCGTGTGAGGATCGAACCCACAACGACGACGTTTCGGATCGTTCAACAAGAACGTAACATACAGCCATAATTGTCCTAATAGACAGTAAGACAGTAGTTTTTTTTTGTTACTTTACAAGGTCGTATTAGCGACACGCTGCAATGGCAATGCAAAGATTCAACTCTGGTGATATTTTCCGTTTAAGTCATTTATCTATTATCATTAATTTTTTATATACTTCTTTTATCTATTTTTATCCGACAGTATACTTATTCTATTATCTGTTAATACTCTGTATAGTAACGTGTAAAGTTAGGAGACTACTTGCTAGAGTAAAGAGTTTCAACGCACACACCTTGGGTTGGTGATTGCAATTGGATCTTCGTTAGTGAACAGTGCTACTTTAATTTTTTTCAAGTGAACGATACGTTTGTCCGAAACATCGAGAGCCAGTCATTTCGGTGCGCGGTAATACTCTCGGATATCCGGTCCCTCGTAAACCGCCGCGTGTGCGGAGTGTAATCACATTAGAGGGCCGCTACTAGAGCGCGTTGTTCTTAACTGCGGCCGCCGATTCCCGGCGCTGCGCCGGTGGGACGTTCGCGTGCATATTTAACCGGAATTCGGGGCGCCGCCCGGTCCGGGATTGCCCCCGTGAAGCGGAATTAGCCGAACAATCCCGCATATAATTAATCGCGCGCCTGTGCGTCTTCGCCCTAGCACGACGCTAATTCCGTGACGTACGATGTCGGTGCTCACCCCGTTTGGATCCAGGCGATTTGGCGTTAAATAATTCATTGGATTACGCACGGCATGGGGTCACGTCTCCTGCGGGATTGCCACCCCGATGTCGTCTTAATTAGTAATTCGTGTATATCGCGAGTGCGCAGGTTGATATAGTTTTAACTGAGGTTGTAAGGTTTTAATAAATTAAGGATTTAATTGCCTCGCGGAACAACAATCTTTACCGCTTTGATGAAATAGAAGTGATTTTGAGTTAAAATCATTATAACGCGATTAATACTCATTATGCTACTTTACCAACCGATGTTCGAATTCGGGTTGAGATTTTGTCTTTTTTGACTTTTTTGCATTAACACGCTTGTATAAACTAATCGAATTTATAATTGTACTTTTTTATTTTATCAATGAAACTGTCTCCATTGAATTAAAATCAGCGCGGGCCCCATGTAGAATGCGTGTTCGAGAGTCGCTCGGCCTCCCTAAATCTCATCCCCGCGCTACTCCGAAGGGATCGTCCGCCCTCTTGTTTCAGCCGCTCCGGACGCGTCGCGAGGGCTGCCAGGTGTCCGGAGTCCGGTGTCCGGTGTCCGTTGCGCAGCCGGATGCTACCGGACGTTCCGTTTGCGTGTGAACCAAACTTTCCGGCCAGCTTGCGGCCATCGTGCATCGAAGGCTAAACGCGTGCGGATATAGAGTCAATCTGCCTATTCTTAAAACTATCTGATCAGTGATAACAATCTCCATGTCATATTTTTTTATTGATTTAATTTTGTTGGGGTACCACGATCGGGGAAGTACCATGTGTAACCTGCGGCCCACACCGAAAAATCCGAATGAATTGACAACCTCCTCAATCCTCGTCCTTTTTTTAAGTCGGTCAAAGACAAAAATTAGAGCACGATAGATACGACTTGCTCTTAACGAGTCGTTGAACACGGCGCGGCGCGGCGGTCTCCCCATATTCGCGACACGTCTCGCGTGACGTGTAAATTTTTCATCGCGCCAGCAACCCTGAACTCGGCCCGCCTGCGGACGGAATTTGGGTCACGGATTATTAGTTATCCGTGTGCGATTCGCCTAAAGGCGAACCCTGTACACGTTGGGCCAACGCGTCGGGCCAATGCATTGAACCAATATGTAGGGGGCTATTTTGCGAAATGTTTGTGACAAATAGTAGTTGGCGCGAACGTTGACCGACAAGCTGAATTGTGTCGGTTTTTTGAGCACACATCAAAGGAGCGCCAATGCACAATGAGCAAGTACGCAAATGTGTGAACAGCTACACACCACGAACGCAAACGCTTTTGCCCAATGCATTGGCCTAATGTGTTGGCCCAATTTGTGTACAGGGGCCATAATGAAGGGTCGATGCAGGAGAGTTCCTCTAATCCGCAGCGAATATGGTAAACATGGGGGTCGCTCTCTTTGAAATATTAAGCCAGTACGATCAACAGGTTCCAACGCGGAAAAAGGCAATCATTGTTAGGTTACATAAAGAGATGTTTTTAATTCGGTGTTCTATGTGGCGCTACAATTTACCGTTTGTTAAATGAGTGCTGTCAGTGTAAAGAAAGTGATTCATTCGCCTTCGGCGTCAATACTGACGGCAATAATGCACATTTTACATCGAACTATGGATGGAACCTAGGGTTTCCAACACTCCTTAAGAACACAACTTACAACTACGAAATGTTTACTAATAAGATTCACGTTCTTAGTCATATTAACTATATAAAGAGTCTTTTCTTGAAATTTTTATCACTCGTGTGACTAGATCTCGTATATAGTACCTATATCAATACTGGCCGTATTGATAACAGTCAAGCACTAGGCGGTCCCTTATAAAAACAAATCTATGTTCCGAAATTCTGCCAGGTTATTTATTTGTGTAAATATTTCTACATAATTTGTCACATCTTAATTGTGATTCAATTTTATTTCAATTTTATCCCTACTAGTAACATAAAATGCTTTGTATATATCTACATTTAAACAGATTTAAATACAAATCTAGCCACTTATTTTCTATGTAACTTTTTTCTACATTTGCACATTGGTAGAATCGTTACCATTCAGTCTATTGGTTTTTTTAATAAGTAGTTCAAAAAATCTTCCCGTGCGTGTAGTAAAGTTGTAACGTATAGTTATAACAATTAAAGTTATAACAAGATATCATCATAATTATGCAACTTAATATAACCAAACCTCTAGGCTCCTAACACTTACGTGTAGATGGAACCACGTTCGTGTTAGCGACCACTCGAGAGAATGCCCGCGCATTCGTTTGTCCACAAAGTTATTTGTAGCAACCGAACATCGCTACGTGTACACAGTCTCGCTGGAGCGTATGCTAATTGATGTCAGCGTTTATTTTAGCGTCGAGTTTAATACACGGCGCGAAGTGCCTAATAAACATTTAGCGTGCACGGTGAGCGCAGCACCCGATGTAACTTTGCACGGTAATGATATTTGCCAGAAACCAGAAATGATGGCTTGTAACGCGGTTGAGGGCGTTAAAGGCCAGCGCTGATCTTCTATGCGAAATAAACGTTCTTTTTGCACTTTCATATAGTTCAATAGAAACAGTCGGAGGTAGAATGAGAGTATAATGACTTCGTGGCGCAGTTGCCAAGGTGGCTTCGGCGTCGGGGGTCGTGGGTTCGATTCCCACACGGGACAACTATTTGTGTGACCCAAAGATAGTTGTATCGCATCTGGGTCCACGTGAAATGTATGTCTGTAAATTGTTCTTACAACACAGGCTATTGTTATCCTAAAGTAAGAGAAATTCTTTTAAAAAAAAAAAGAAAGAAAGATACTAGCGTCTGTTTGTAAAAATAATCTCAACGCAACTGTTCTTTAATAATTTTCGCCGAGAATTTAAAAACGTTGCTATTTATTTTAGTGTTCAAATCCATGTTTTATTCGCTTAAACGCAAGAAATCATTATGGTGAGCTAAAATTGAACCGATTAGAGTACTAAATTCCAGTACTTTGGGACACAATGAAGAATTTACTTTCCCGTTTACGTCATTAAAGATCGCGCGAGGTAACCACCGTGTAACCTCAACCGAGTGATGATACATCCGCCAAACGAAACCCGCTTCTTAATACTACGAAATATAGTGTCGAAATCCTTTTCTATATGGAAACAAGACGCGGCCGTACCGCATTTGAATATCGTCTCTATTCTATAAAGTTATACGTTCCAATTTAGGTTGTAATAGTTCCGCAGAACTTGTCGCATTAAAGCGAGCGATGCTTTAACGACTTCATCACAATCATGTTACGGTGCAAATTCGGAAGGTCGTTCAAATATCAACAAATTTCGAATGGTGTAGGTGTATGTATGCAAGCGAGGGCGGCTAAGCGATTCGTTGTCGTCCATTTTATATGTTCCAGGTAAACATTTGTATGTTTCGTTTTTCTCTTGCGGTAGGGAAAATAATGTCAGCGTCGACGTCGAATCGCGACGATCTACTTGTTTCGGTATTCAAATCTATTTATCAAGAATCTTTTAGTAAATGTAGAGCAATAGAACTTTATTTTTGTGACATCAAACAACGACAACTTTTCGCATTGCATATAATTATATTCTCCTAATGCTTCTAGTCTCCATGATAATCATTCAAAGATAAATGCATTTCTCATCTTATTTAATCGGTCAGCTGATTATGTCTACGTTTAACAGTCAATTATTTTAAATGGAGGTCAACTATCCCATCGCGCGTTGTATGCCTCATTAATTGCCCTGTTACACAATCAATCACAAATCATCGCTGACGCCGCACTACGCACCACGCACGCTGCTCACTATTCGGGACGTTTACAACATAATAGAGAGCATTAGGCCGATCCACTTTTGACATCACTATCTGCGGACGGACTGTGACGATAACCTGCGGGTAAGTCGGCGGCTCTACGTCGGCGGCGGCGGGCGACGCGACTCTCCCGCCCCACCGTCGGACGGCAGTCGCGCGCCATCTCGCACGCGGTGCGGACGTGTTTTTGAATCTGATCGCGCTCGCTCCCTCTCCCCCCCATAACCCCCTCTCCAAACCCCTTCGGCGCGAGCGAGTGCGCGCGCGTTCGCTTTTCGCGGGCAATTCGCATTCGAATCACCCGCCTGATATCGCACGGACAATTTTGGATTGCAGTGTTGGATGTACCCAAGGATTGTGGTGCGCGCCTCGCGAGAATCCGACGGATGTAATGCCCATAACGTTGACTCATGCATGACGCTCACTTGGTCGCTGGAACTGGGAATTGTTTACGATAAGCGCCCGCGATTTGCGGCTCGGCCGATGCGATTGTTTTTTTTTCCTTCTTTTACTTTTAATGCGATATTCGATTTTCAATCGATACTTTCGGATGGTTATTTGTAACAGGTACAAGCTTCTGCAGTTTCAAGACATAGTATTAAGTTGCTTCGATATAAAGTTGGACTAGTAAAAAAGGAAGTTTACTTTTATTCTAAATAATTTAATCACTAACTAAGTCGCGGTAGCGAGTTTCATTTACAATGAAATTTGAGTCACGATTTTACCGCGTAGGTACTAAAAAGTTTGTTTTGATGATGAAGAGAGCTAGCTAGTTAAGTTAGTTACGTGGAAAGCTTTATTAATACAAGTTGCATTGGACAAATCGCTTCAGGGAAAATCCCGATACCATCCGGTTATATTTTTGTTTTATATTGTGACCAAAGCGATTTATTATTCATCAGCGTTATTGGTTCAACTTGGAGTGGATTGTGTGAGATGAGGTTTTAAAGATGACCATGTTAATAGATTGGCGTATCTTTATTACTCAATTCATCGCCATCTGTCGGTATAATGACCGCGATTATTTATAACATATAACGTTCTTTTGATAGAAAAAATTAGTGTTTGTTTTCGATCACATACTTCTCTCGGCTTTGATCTTAAGTAGTTCAAAGAAACAAATAGACACTTCGCTCGAATACATTTGTAAATTAGACAACACGTCATCGGCAAAAAGTAGTTTGATGTTTCCGTTACGTAACGTCATAAACGAAACGGTTAATTCTAAATACGTGTACGTAATAGCGTTTACCCGAAATCATTTGACAATCAATTTAGACAGCGCTAATAAAAGAAATATGCCGCGTAATTCGTGAGAAATGCATTCTCTTTAATAGCTCGTTAAGAAATCATCCAATTTTACATTTCACTCGTAGTCGTTACTGTATTTAATTTAAAGCCGTACCAAAATAATGTGGCACATTGCTAAATCCTTCCTAATATTTATGACACTTTTATTATTTAACTACGATTTAAAGTTTCGCATCGCGTCTTCTTATCCAGTTTTAATTGGAAGTCTTCATTAAAACATGGGGAAGTCTTCAGCTGTAGTTTCTATCGTTCGCTCCGATCGATATAGGAGAATCCTTTGACGGCGTTGAGCGTGTCCCGTGTAGGTATCGCCAATTTCGTTTTAATAACAGGTCGGGGTGTTTCGTCAATGCCCCAATGACAAAGACGATCGCACGGCCTCCGGCTTCGGAAAGTGGGTTAATGTGTCCGCGATGTGGGCCGGAATTTCGGCCGCGGCGGAAGAACTCTAGCACAGCCACACCGGCGATATATATATATATATATAAGATAGCCTTGACTGTTAGGGTTGCCACACGACCGCGAACGCGTGTGCGCCTCCGTCGCCGCGCTATCTTATCGCGAATGTCCTGAGTTCGATGTTCATTATCGACGTTCCTCGTTAAACACTTGAGCGACCGTCGATCGTAGATCCGTCAGATATACATATTTCAACGCTATGCTAAAACGTTTTTACTTGTGCGAACTTGTGTTATTCGAAAGGAATCTTCGTTGAGAAACAGTATAGTTGTTCGTTTTGGTCGCATCTCCGCGTTCAAATCTTCTCGCGCGAATCGCGAGAAAAAATCGTTTCTTCCATTCAAAAAGTAAGACGGCGAAACAAAGGGATGGTGGTTTTAGAATTTGCGTTGGAATTAAATACCCACCCGCTTGCTCAAATCCAAATGCTATCGGTGTTCTCCGAGATTAGTTATTAGGGCAGAATTTCAGTCTTTATCCTTATTGTTTGGAAACCCTCTCTACTTTAACAATGAACATTTTTCCTCCTCTATTTTATACCGTTCGGTGCATCCTCTGTTTTTGTTTTCCCTCAAAAATTATAATAAAGATCGATCCGATTTTTTTAATCTCCATTCTATTGGGTTATGAAGAATAAACGTGTAAACTTAAGGTTCCTTAATTCAAACTGGGTAGTCAGAGATACATATATACGCATAAAGTTATTTGCTTATTGAATAAGAAAATATCACGTATAGTATACCTTAAAATGGTTTCGATTAAATAATTTCAGTATTTTCCGATACATCGGTTGATGTAAAGTGGCTTTCTTATTAGCAAACATTGGTCGATTCGTTTACTTATCATTATGAATGGCTTTTAAAGCACTCGCGTATTACGTATTACTGCCTAAAGTCGGAATGTTGTTTTTCTTTCCATAATTTAGTAGTACATGTCTGCGAGTTGCATGCCTGCGTGTTCACGTAGTGTTGAGCCATGCAATGATGCCCGTTAGCCATGTGTAGATATTAAATTATTCCATTACAATTCATGACTTTCAGTACATTACGCACAGGACGCCCGTATCCTACTAAGTGTTTTATTCAACTAATTTTTTTTATACTTTATGGGAAGTTGTTTAATTTTATATCAAACAATAGCAATAAACGGCATGTGTAGCAATTTCACAACAAGCATGCATCCAAATCGGAAGAATAGTTTAGGAACGCATGGTCGAGAAACATACTAACAGTCATTTTTATTTTGAAGAAAATATGATGAACCCTTACATGTACTCTATGATGTTTGGCATCCATATAGCTTTTGCCCCGTTTTATTTGTGATCCGCGCCGATACAAAATGCGGCATACTGTGAATAATAATTAGTTACCGCGATCAAGTGATACGTTTCTATAATTGAATTACGCACCGTGATTGGTCCACGCCCAATTTACGCCTTGACCAATTTCGAGATTTCGCTTCGCAGTGCTCGTCTAGCGCGGATTGTGGACCGTGGAGTTAATTGCCAATGAAAATGTTCGTGCGCGGTGTGGATTGAAGCGTCCCTGTGTTGAGTGTGAGATCTGTGGACGTGTTCGACTGAAGCGTCGGGGCACATTTGACGATTGCGTTCGGCGCGGATAGAGTGCGGTCGGACATTGCTGGTATGCATATGTGCTATGTGAGGCCAAACCTGGTGACCGCCTTGAACGGAGGCATTGGGTAAGATTCTACTTTTTAATAATTATTATTCTTATCTACATTTATTTTTAACTAGCTGCTGCCCGCGACTACGTCTGCGTAGAAGTCCGAAGGCGTAACATTCAGAGAGAAAGACAGATATACATAAAAATATGTATTTAAATTATAGTCTATGTGTTTTTCTTATGTATAGTATATTATTGTAAAGTTTCATTAAAATCCATTCAAGTAGTATTTGCGTGAAAGAGTAACAAACATCCATCGATACATTCAAACTTTCACGTTTATAATATTAGTAAGGATTATCTTTATTAGCTGAACCTGGTGATGCTTCGCTGTGCCTTTTTATGGTTCCGTATGAAAAGACATAAAAAGGCACGAAAAAAAAGATTTCGAGTAACATGTGTTTAATGATACGGCAATTATACTTTTGTTTAATTTAGATTGCGGACCCATTAAAAATTTCAACGTCTTATTAAAAACAATTAGTCTCGCATCGCATCATAGTTTAGTCTAATGTAGATTAACTCTGAAATCTGTTCACACGAAAGTATTACTCCTCTAAGTAAGTGACAAATTTACATTTGGTGTGCATTTCACAATTTACATGACATTATGAAACGATCGCCGACACCTCAAGTGATGCTAAGCGCTCCACATCCAATTTGCATACAACTAAATTGCGAATAAACACGATGTGTTCTCACGAAGTTGAAGAATCACCGAGCCCACTGCATGTTTACGATGCGTAAACAATTAAACCTCCTTTGTCCATTATAACTGTGCCGTGCACATACGAAGCGGCGACTTGTGTTTAAACGTGTTTTAATTATTTTACCGACATACAATTTAAAAGTCGGGTATAATACTATATGTTTTCACAGGGTTAACGAATCCTACATATATTTACCATTGACCTAGATCACAAACCACGAAGTAATATAGGACAAGGACTTACAGCCCTTTAAAATATTGGCGCTATTTAACATATCATAATAGCATACTACTTTTTTTTTCTTTTCTCGTAAATTAAGGCATAAAAGGATCGTGCAAAATGTAATAACATGATGTTTATATATAGCGACATCACGTGGTGTAGATCTTCACACGGAAAATAAATATAATTATGTTAGTTTTCATGAATAATAAACAATTACACTATAAGCAATTGATGGCGGGTAATGGCGTCATTAGCCGATATCCCGAGCACTAAGCAACATGCCATTCGCAAATTGTCAACTCAGTGCAAATACGTTGGTACATAACTCGCGCCGCGAACACGCTCGCTCCCCGGCCGGGTGTAATCCAATAAGCCGAATTGGAAGTGGATCCAAGTCAACCTCCTTAGCTGTGCGCTAATACACCGTAACACGATACTACTAGTAGTACTACTCAGCTAATGTGCAAGTACGAACGCTGTGGTAGGGGCTTTTCAGTGTGAGGCAGCTGAGCCCGCGACATCATTGAAAGTAAAGGTTATTTAGCGATAAATAGTTTGGAACGTTTAACGTAGCATCGCGGGATGAGAAGTCCGATTCGAAATTTTCTTTTTTTCTTTTAATGGAAAACGAGCTGGGTGGACCATCTGGTTGGTGGTAAGTGTTCAACGCATCCAGCTCGTAAAACCAGAGGAGTCACAAATACGTTGCAGGCCTTTGAGGTAGGAATAGGCTCACTTCTTGAAGTTTATATCAGTATCTCTTTATCACTTTTATCCCACTCTTGCCATACTTAAGTGGGGTCAGCACAAAATGTGAAATTATGTTGTTAAAGGTATTGGATAGGTTTTTCCCGTCCTTCTACCTGACGTCAACCCTCCTTGGAAACGAACACCCAGATCCG